AGAAAAATGGGTCCATACGTATATCTTTCCTCTATGTTTTTTATTAAAATAACATTAACAAAGGGTAGTGTTGTTGCAACTCTTTATGATGTACTCCTAAGTATGCTTACTCAGAAGGAAATGCCCCTGAGTATAATATAATTGCTTAGGTATAAGTGTACTTTGTGGGGTGGGCTGCACTTACCTTCACCACCGGTTCACTGGTTGTGAGTGTGCATGCACAAATGTGCATGCTTCGCTCACAAGCACCTATTTGGGGCTGAAATGGAGCTTCAAATCAGGCAGCTCCAGTGAGTACAGCAGGCGCGGTGCAGCGTGGCACAGCACAGAACTCAGCTGGGCAGCGTAGGCGGGGGAAATGAACCAGAAAGTTAATTATAAATGGAAAAAATAGCATAGGGGCGGGTGGGCAGGCCTAGCCAGTGATCACAGTTACTGATTCGCCCGAACCGATCCAATCAGGCAGCAGCCCACCCCTGGTGTTTTTCCTATGGGAGATACACTGGGGACTAGACTTTCTTAGGACAAAAATGTTGATTTCATAACTAATAAACTGTCAGTAGCACTACACAAAGCAAGATGTTCATTAAACTGAAAAGAATCATCTTGTTTAAACTTTACAGTCTTTAAGAAAAGACGGTATGCTTATGTTGCAGAGGGTGTTCTATGATTTAATTGACTATGTTTCACAGTGCAATATAGAGTAGATAGCCATTGGTAACGTCTGGGTAGCTTCTGACTTCAAATTAGCTAAAGGAGAAATGGATGGTGTCATTGGTCCCAACAATATCCCAGGTAAATAACAAATAAATAATAATTTACCACCCCTCTTTTTTAGTGATTTTTTAAAAAGCAGATAGTTTTTCCCTCTCCTAATAAAGCTCATAGTACTTCAGAATATAAGTATAATTTACATGGTGATTTGGTGCCCTTTCAAATACACATTAGAAACATTGTTCTGAAATCTTTTATGTAGAGGCTTTTTGTTGCACAGAGATCTATATAAATACTCAAGGTTACAAAATGTTAAATTTGGCTCAGCTATAGTGTAATGTTAGCAATAGCTGCATTTGCTGGTTTGGCATGCAGCTCATACCAAGGTGTTCAGTTGTGCATACGTGATATAAGCTATTGCCAATTTACATGTCATTGCATTACCATTTCCTTTTGCTAGCTGTCAGCTGTAGTGGCAGCGCACCATAAATCACATCAGATTTCATTATACATTTACTTAAATCAGATCGATTTTATTATAAATGTACCCAAATCTTATACAGAATAGAAATCCAAAGTGATAACCCAAAACTTTCATCCTTTTGCCTCCAGTATTCTATGTATATCATGTTTCTGTGTTTAAGGACCTTATAATATTTGATGAATTTTTATGGCCTTCATCAAAATATATTAGCTTGATGTACTTTCTTGACGCCCCAACCTTTTGGGCACCAGGGATTGGTTCCGTGGAGACAGGTTTTGCCACAGACCGAAGGGGGCATGGTTTCACATGCTGCCTGCATCCATGGATGGGGCTTCACTTGTTTCTGTGGCCCAGTTTCTAGCACGCCACGGACCAGTGCTGGTCCTTGGAGGAGAGATTGGGAACCCCTGTTCTAAGGTACATAAAATCACCACAATTCCTATTAAATTCTACTAAATTAATAGAATAATCTCATGCATACAGAAATGGAGGGAAAAAATAGAGAATATCCTATGTTCAGGGGAGACTCGAAGAAGAGAAAAGATGGAAAAATATCTAAACAAAAACATAAAAGGAGGAAACATTATAACAATAGTATAGTGGAATAAAATGTTGATAAGCCTGAGAGAAGGGAAGAACTGACAATCAAATTGAAGAAGAAATAGTATAACGTGATATTGGAAAACAGGAGAAAAATTTATAGATGTAACATGGAGTAGAATGATTAGGGGGAAAATAAAAATCATGAAACATGAAACAGAGTGACTAGAATAAAAGACAGAAGAGCTGTGCTGGAAACAACCATTACATAATATTGATTTGTGGAAGGGGAAGGGAAAGATGAATAATGAAACTAAGTGGGTAGAACACCGAATATGAAAATTCCATATTGTGGCCTTTTGTTCAAGGCCCACTTGTATATTCAGGATATGTGCATAAAAATTCAAATAATTACCTTCTGGTGAATTGTTGCATTTACATATTGACATTATGCATCTGGCATTCTGTTTTTCACTGTTTCAGTAACTATGATCCAACATGGGTACACACTGGTTAGCATGTGGGTGTGCATTACGAAGACGGAGTTGTAGTTCTTGAAAATAGCATGAAGAACTATGAGCATAAATTAGATTTGTCCTGAATATAATTGCTCCCAAGAGAAGCTTTTGTGGATTTTAAAATGAATTTTTGTTGCTGAATATTGACAGTTGATAATTTTAGATGTAAAAAATTACATCTTTGCAATGGAAGTTCTAAAAAAAGAAATTATTAAAGGAAATTCTTTTGTTTTGAAACATATTTTATACTACTAATTTTATGTCCATTTCCAATGTAGATAGAATATAGAACCTGAGTCAACATAATGCTGCTCCCTAACCATCTATATAAAAAGTGTAACCAAGTTTATCTATCAAGACTTCCTTGCTTGGCAAGGAGCCTCATTGACTCGTCTTGTTCTTAATTCCACTCTACTCAGAGTCTTGGGTTTCACGCCCCATCTTCTCACTACTCCAGCTGTTCTGATGATACCTGTGTTTGATCAGCTTTAAGTGATTCCTCGCTAGATAGTTTCTGAAGCTTACATTCCACAGGTTCAACTAGAGCAGCTTTGCCAGAGTTTGAATTCTGAGCCACGACATAAGGTGATTGTGTTTTAGCCTGTTTGGATGGGATAGCAAGCCCCCTGAAAGAGCAAGTACTGTCATTGGATTTGCAAATGTGGTTGTGGCAAAGACTTTAATTATATAATTACTGGTTCCAGCTGTAGCCAATTATAAGCTTAATAATTAATTTTACAACAGTGAATTTTACAGCTAGTGATTTACTTGTCATTATTTTCACCACTTGTAATTTCCAGATTTTTCAAAGCCAACTTCATGTAAGCTACATTGCTGGTAACATTCTATCCTGATTATTGCAAAATAGCCTGTATGAGGTTGCCCTTGAAAAATGTCTAGAAATGGTGCAAATAATGGCAAGTAAACTAAGATGTGCAACAAACAGGAAATATATGAAGTTTGTACTGAAATATCTACATTGGTTGCTCATTAGTCATAATTACAGTTGTTGGTATTCATCATAAATGCCCTAAACCAAGGGTGTCAAACTTGCGGCATCATCTTGTTGTTCCGTGAGATATTGCTACTTTTTTCCTCTTTGCTAAACCGGAGGTGGGCGTGGCCATCTGGCCTGTGGGCGGCAAGTTTGACACCCCTGCCCTAAACCATACTTTTCAAGCATATTCTGCAAAGCACAATTGTTCCCCAAAGATTAATAGGTATTTGACAAATACCTATTTTCTCTCCCATGATGGAAGAGAAAATGTTTTGGGAGTTTTGGAACTAAGTGGTTTCATTAGCCATTGAATGGAGATGTCAGCATATTTCTTCTCAGACATCACATCAAATCAATTAGGGGGGGAGAAAACATTGGGATAAAGTTTCATAGAGGAACTGAGCTTTTATGTGAAAAGGCATTGAAGTGCCTCTTAACTTTTCTATCATTAATTTTGTGAAAGTTTATTTTTACATTCGCATAAAAAAAAAACCTCAAATACCAGAAAAATTATCTACATCTATTTTAAAAATTGAGACAGTATTATACTAACATTATGATAATATTAGACATCAATCATCTTTATTAATTTACTGCAGATTATGTCCCAATTTATCTCTCACAGCCAATACTAGGAGACATTGATTAATTGGAGATCAGGAACGCCCAACCTAAAGATTCAGAAGTACATGTGTACAAGATTTCCAGTCACCTCCTCTTGCCACCAAATTATAACTGTCAGTATGAGAAATTGAATATGCAGGAAATAATCCTAATATTGTTTTGTCCTGAATCTATATACTTTTGGAAACATAGACTCCATGATGCCACTCAAATGCAAGAGCTGACCTTGTAAAACTATTGTAGACTTATGCTTTGACAGGTTTTCCTATTTTAATCAGAATAAAGCTGAAAAGAACCTTGTTCAAGCAGGAGACCCTGGCCCAGAGATGGTTTTCTATCGGTTCAGAACGGTTCGACTGAACTGGTAGTGGTTTGGTGGCCTGGGTCACTGGAACTGGGAGTGACCCAGACCTGCCACGTCCCCGAACCAGTTCTCCTACAGGGCCACCAACTTGATTTTCGGTTCTGTACAGGTGCATAACAATTGTAATTGCACAAATTTAACCTTTTTCCTTTTTTTAACATTTTGCGCATGCACAGACCTATTTTTGTGCAAATGCGCATGCGTGCGTAGCACATTTTTGCACACACTGAACTGGCAGTAATGCTGGGAGAAACCCATGCCTGCCCTGGCCTATACCATTTCAGATAAGTGACTGTCTTCTTAAAAACCTTCAGTGATGAAGTGTCCATAATTTCTGAAGGCAAGCTGTTCCACTGGTTAATTGTTCTCACTGTTAGGCAGTTTCTCCTTAATTCCAGGTTGCTTTTCTGCTTGATTAGTTTCCATCCATTGTTTCTTGTCCTGCCCTCTGGTGCTTTGGAAAATAAATTGGCCACCTCCTCTTTGTGGCAGCATCTCAAATACTGGAATACTGCTATCAGCCACCACCACCCCCAGTTCTGCTTTTCTGTAGACTAGCTGAATCCAAATCCTGCAACCGTTCTTCATATGTTTCCATCTCCAGGCCTTTAATCATCTTAGTCACTCTTCTTTGCACTTTTTCCAAAGTCTCAACATCTTTTTTTGTAATGTGGTGACCAAATTTAAAACCTAGCTAACAAGAACAAAATAGAAGTGTGAAGATGAAAGACTGGCTCTAATCTTTCTTTCTTCTTTCAGGTGAGCAAGAACCAGCAGTAAGTAGTGATTCAGATATTTCATTGATTATGGCAATGGAGGTTGGACTCTCTGATGTGGAGCTTTCCACTGATCAAGACTGCGAGGAGGTGAAATCCTGAAAAAAAAAAGAGGAAACTATTGAAACATCCTTCTACTAAACGAACAGTAGCAGGAAGAAGAAATCAGTTGTGGTACACACAATTATCCATATACATATGTGCACATATGTAAGATTTGGGTCAGTTGTATATACATGAATACCCATATACAAACGTGCACATCTGTAACCACAAAGGCATCCGGAACATTATGCGAACTCCAGTTAATTCCATTCTGGGATGGTCATGAAAAGCAATAGTTACAGATATGTCTGCCTGGATGCAGTTTCATTATCTATTACATTTGTTCATTTCATTGAAAATGGAAGTTGAAAATGTATTGTTCCAATCCATGTGCCAGAAGAATTATGCACTTGCTTGGTGGCTTAGAACCATATAATTGAAATGAAGTCCTCTCCCCCCCCCACCTTTGTTTTTTGGGTTTTTAAGAAAGAAAAGGATACCATAAGAGGATTATAGCTGACATTGATGGACATTATTTTTCTTTCTTCTCAATAACCCAAGCTTATTCAAGTATTCAGTTCAGAGATCTGATCATTATGGTGGGTCACCAAAATGTATGAATGTCAGGCATTTTCTACATGAAGAAAGCATGGCTTCAGAAAGAAATGGTGCTTCCAACTTTGACTTGATTTGAAGACTCTTTTTATTAAGATATTATCGGCCCTTGGAGATCTGTGCTTCCAGGGACTTCCAGACAAGAGAACAGAGACTGGTTTGATTGAGGTTGGCAAATTGCTATTTAATCCTGCTGGGTTCCACTCTGAGCTTTAGGACATTGATGGATAATTTCTGAGTGACAGAAGAAGCGTGAAGACAACAATCATGATGAAATTAAAGATCAACCAATATATGTGGCCCTTTGTACCACTATATACTTTTCATGCCTTAATGGCTTTCACAGTGATTGGTTTTATATTAGCTTTACTTAAAAAAAAAAGCTTTCCCAAGAACTTTCTGACCTATGAATGAATGGAATGTATTGATATTATTTGCAGTTAGATGGAAAGAAAATAAAAATGTTGTAGGAAGGCAGCAGGGGTATGGTAGTTTAGGGTAGGTACCAATGGACTGTGATTGTTTATCATACAAGGTATACCTTGAAAATCACTTTATCCTCTCAAAAACATTATGAGTTACTCTTTATTTTACAAGTGACCGTTTTCCAAGTTCCCAAGGAACATTTCAATGATTGTGGTAAAGGATATTCAGACACAGCCTCATATTTATTTTACATTTTAACATGGTTGGATAAATAACCAATAATCCAATTCAGGGAATCCTTTCATTCCTAGAAAAGAGTAAAATTGTACTAAGAATGAACTGCTTTCCCAAATACCCCTTAATCAAATTGATTGTACCATATTTAAGTTCACCTTAAAATTATTCAGAAAGTCTCAGGCATTTTTATTATGATGTGTGAAAATATGCTACAAACACCTTTTAATGTTGTTTTATGCTCCTGATGTAGAGTATGTAGGCTAAACCTAGATAACTTTAGAAGTAAGTCAAAACGTGATTATTTGTAATCTTATTTCTGAATCATAATTCAAAACTGAAACATTCAAAACCAAATTCACTAAGAGTTGTGTGTTTTGCCCTAACTAATTTATGTTGAAAATAAGTGCCATTAGCTGCTGGAATTTTAAGTGATTTTGTTTTATGCTATCGCTTAATGGGGTGTGCTATTTATGCAGAAGAGCAATTTGTATTTTAATCAAAGTACTTAAGAAGGACTTTTCATCTTATTTTTTGTCACAAAAGTTAAGCTAATACTTCTGACAATAAAAATAGTAATTTCAACCACAGTAGATAAACAGAGGTAACAGAGTCACTTGCACTTATAAACTGAATAGACATAGACTGTTTTTTCTTTCTGTAGTAGAATAGTACTATAACAATTCATCCATAGGTGAGCAAAAAGTAGATCTAGATCTACTTAACAGATCCTGAGTAACTGGCTATACATCAGTAACTACTCCTAATACCTGTATAATGACATTAGCTACAAAAGGCCCTCCCCACCTTAAATTGCCATTTGATCAAAGTATTGTTTCTTTATCAAAAGACACTGCATTGCAACCTGATCCAATAGTTGAGCTTTTAGCCCCATATGTTTCCAAATCTCAATGTCTGACTTCTGTATCAGCCTCCAGCTGGTGAATCTAAAGGCAGAAATAATGGCAGTAATAAATCCTTGAAAACAGAGATTTCCTAACTTCCAAAGTTAGCCCATGTACTGTCTTGTTACTCTTCTTATATTCTGTCCCCCCCCCCTCTGCTGTTAATTTTCCTAATTTGCTACTCTGTGAGGAAACTGAACCCTGGAAATAATGGGCAAGCTTTGTATTCAGCACAATTTATCATGTTGCACAAAAATTGGAAACCTTTTAGTGCAAATGTCATCATTAATGCCATTTCTTCCTATCCCAGAACACCTTTGGATTCCAGCATATTTTGCAAAATGCCACCTGCGACAGGCTAAGGACTGGCATTGAATCCAAAAGTGGAAAAGATTAAAGATATCATCTGCTTCCATCTTTCTTTGTTTGGGATGGGGATGAAAACATCTTATGAAATCTAATTTTGGTGCTGTGAATAGTGCAAGTAGAAAGTGAGTCTACCTGGGAAAGACAGTTATTTACATTATGTCGAGGTTTGTTGTTGCATCTGATTTATTATAAGCACTGAAACTGCAATTTTGAAAGCAGCTTGCTCTTTTCAAGATCATTACCTTTAACAAAAGACCACTGAGAAAGATCAGTCTGCCCCATCTCCATGAAGCTTAATGAGGAATCTCCCCCAAATGGATGCAGTTATGTCTGATTCTGAAATAACAAAGGAACTAGAAATATTAGTATTCTCTTTATTCCTATTTGATTCAAACTGGGGGAAATTAAACCCTCCTCTACTAATATAAAAAGAATCTTGGCAAGTATAACTTGTGCTGCCACATATTGCTAACTCTGCCTGTGAAAACTTACCTGTCAGTTTATAAGTATGTGGTTGTTTTAATATTGGAAGAGGCTACTCAATGTTCCAGTATATTATTGTCTAAAAATATAAGGTATCCCTGTCTTCATTTCATTTCATTTCTATGACATGTGAGATACAGGGGTGGGTTGCCGCCGGTGTTGCTGCCAGTTTGCTTCATGCAAGCACCAGATGCATGCTGTGCACATGTGTGCAGTTGAATGTAAATTGTTCTGTGCATGCGCAGAACATGAAAAAATGATTAAAAACCAAGCCAGAAACAGCAGCAGCAATCGGGGAACCCATTCGGGGATGTGGCCAGCCTGTCATCCCTACCAGTTCGGTGACCCAATTCGCCCGAACTGGGGCGAACGGTAGCAACCCACCTCTGGTGAGATATTGTATTAATTAGCGGTAGTCAGGGGCAAAAGATTTCTTTACTAGCTGCTATTTCTTTACTACACGGCCATGTCCAGCTTTATGTTAACTACAGTGTTGCAGTAAGATGCAGTAAATATGCCTATTTTGCTGTTCTTGGTTGTTGACATGTTAAACCATGTTGTCCATCTGCATGCAGCCTCTCTGGAAAGTTGGGCTATGATCATCAGAAGTAATATTAGCTTGTAAACTGTCCCTAGGCCTGCCTATATTTCTGCTGTTTCACTCCAACCATTTCCATGTTATTTGAGGGTAAACAACACTAATGGCATATTATGTTAAGCAGTAAAAGCCATTATGGCCCATATACTGATGGTAGGTAGGTGGTCAACAAGTAGCATGAGTGATTTTGCATTGATCGTTTTTCTTTTCCAAAGTACAAAAAAGTGGCAAGTATGTAATACTCTAAGGAAGCCAATTTGGTGCAGTGTTTTAAGGCATCAGCTTAGAAACCAAGAGACCATGAGTTCTAGTTCCATCTTAAGGGCAAAAACCATTGAGTGATCTTGGGTTAGTCAGTTTCTCTCAATCCTGAGAAGTAGGTAATGGCAAAGCACCTCTGAAAATCTTTGCTAGGAAAACTGCAGGGGCTTATCCATGCAGGGTCCAAGAATGAATGGAAGAAAATATATGTAATTAGGAACTATTGATATTGTCCTCTACTCTAGGAAAATGTCTTCTCTCTGTGTCATTAATTTAGACTAACAGTATTCAACTAAGGACATTCCTTATCATCTGGAACTTCTTTCTTTGGACTAAAGAAATCAGTAATTAAATCTTGCTGGTTTTTATTTTTTAGCTGTCCAAGAATGTGCTTAGTGCCAATGAACTAAAGATACTGATTGTTTTTGGATTTATTACTAATTTTCCAATTTACTGAAGACATCCTACCTAATAATTGATATTAAAAGCAATAGAATAATCCAGAAAATCAGTTTAACATTCTTTTTTAAATACAACAGCTTTCAAGCATACACACATGTTAAGGATCTGATAAAATTGCAAAAATAGACCACTGAGTAGCAGTCTTCAGTCTGATATAATTTTCTGCTTAGAATCAGTTTAGAGTTCTGGCAAGATAACCTGCCCCGCCCAACTGAATAGGGAAGTGTAGGGAGAGGGTGAAAGGATATTTGAAGCTAATGGCTTTTTGCTCTGAAATGTCTAATGCCTATAGATTGCTTAAACCCCACCAACTGTTGAACAGAATGCAACGTAATGGGACCCCTAAAGTTCTTGGGGGCTGGCTTTCTACTTCCAAATAATCACTTCTGCCACCAAAAGCTTTGAGAAGAGAAATCAGTTTCGGTTTCGGTTTCATTTTATTTATATGCCGCCCTATTCCCTGCGGGACTCAGGGCGGCGCACAAACCCAAGGAGGGAAAGAGAAACACAAAAACTACAAATACAAGGCATTTAAAAACAACCAACAGCCACACGAATCGAGAGGGGGAGGGAACTCATCAACCCCAGGCCTGCCGACACAGCCAGGTTTTAACGGCTTTTCGGAAGGCCTGGAGAGAGGTGAGGGTCCGAATCTCTGTGGGGAGTTCGTTCCAAAGGGCCGGAGCTGCCACAGAGAAGGCCCTCCCCCGGATAGTAGCCAGATGAATTGGCTGGTAGACGGAACCCGGAAGAGGCCTACCCTGTGTGATCTAATGGGTCTTTGGGAGGTAATTGGCAGCAGGCGGTCTCTCAAGTACCCAGGTCATTATACTGTAGTGAAATGAGCTAAATGTGGGCTGTGTGTTGATGGGCAACCATGGGATAACAGTAGTAACATGTTGTAAAGCAGAACTGCAAGTATTCTGAATGACCATGCTGTCCTCAAGTGGCACTATAACATTAAAGTAAGACCCGCCCATCATGAGCTCTCCAGCATTCAGCTATTGCACAGGAAATGCAGGAGAGGAAACTTATTTGTAGAAGGCAAAGTCTTTTGCTAATTGTGTTGCTATATATAACTGGTTTTGTGAGAATGTATGCAATGTCACATTGGATTATTTATTTAATCAAATTTAATAATGCAGAACAGTGTTTGCTGATGCTCAATTCTAATAACTTCACTAGTATTAAGAACAGACTTTCTCGAGCTTGTATGAGCTTCCAATAGTATTTATAAAACTTTTCTTTGTTCTTGCTTACCCGTGTAGGGAGAATACTTCCATTTTACGTTTGCACAGTACACAGTCTGTGAAAAACCGAGATATTATTTTTCAGTAGTTCTTTGAGAAATCATGCCCCACTAAATGCTTCTAGCATGCTATCGATACAAACTGCGTCATGATCATTAGAGGCAGTGTTGCTGCCAGTTTTTCACCTCGAGTATATTTTTGCCAAGAAGTCTATGAAGCAGGCACAAAGCAATGCCTTTTCCAGTATCTGCTTGAACGTAATATGGATTACAGAGAGCTGGAAGAGAAATCATGCTTCTAAATGTGCTTCCATTGGCAACCGGATGAATCAATAATAAGGGAAAACACAGTTCAGAGGATAGAATATGTACAGACATGTAGAAACACCAGATATTGCTGGTAGTTATATAAAGACCCTCTCTATTTTACTGACAGAGATGTAGTTCCATATCCACTGAAATGTTCCTCAAGTATTCATACGGTATACAGGATTTTTGAGAAAGCTTTAGTACATTTTGTTTGTTTAAAATAATGTGTGTTCTAAGCAGTGCATAGAATACTAGCAAACAGCAAAAAAGATTGAGCTGTAACAAACTTCATTTTCTTTTCTTTTTCACTGAAGCAATTGATCCATAATAATAATAACAATAAATATAAGATACGGATTTTAGTATGTAGGTCTCTGCATAGCAGATCATGTTTGCTAACAGCTGCATAGCAGAGGAATGCCCTCTGCTGTAAAAATCCCAGTTTTTACAACTTCTCTCTTAATATATTTATTGCTTTAGTAGTTGGAAATTTATCTCACCAGTAAAAATGCTGAATCATCCACAAGTGGGGTTGAGGGGAAAGAGAGTGATGTCCATTATTATTTTAAAAAGATGAAAAGGAAGTTGTATTGAACATACTAAAAGGCTGCCACCAAAAATCTAATATTTATAGCATATCATCCTCAGCAAACAATGTTTTGGAGTGTCTCTTACAAGAATGTATGTGTAGAAGATTACAAAAAAGAAAAAGAAATTGAACATTTTTCTTCCTGTTTGCTTCTTTTGTATCTTGTTTGTTTGTTTTGAAGGCATCAAATGTTACCCATTTCTTTTGCTGCAATGGTTTACTGATGTGAGATATCAAAATGTTTTTTACATGTACATAGTATTATTTCTTCTTCCCTTTTCCATGGCTAAACCACCTGATGAAGGTATTTACCATTTTATAAATAGAATAAAATGTAAAGCAGGAATTAATTTGGTGGGTGGGAAGGGCTGTTATTTTTATAGCAAGATGTTCCTTGTACTTATTAGCATTTTAAAATAATTTTGTACTTGTCAAACTGTACATTCCATCCATCTCTCAAAAATATTTTTTATTTAAAGTACTTTATAAACACACAAAAAAACATTTGATAAAGAGTTTCATCAATAAAAACAAAAATATTTGGATTACAGTAATAACTCTAAAGTTCTCTCCTGCTGTGTCATATGGATTACATGCTATACCAGCAAATGCCAATTAAAAAAACTAGAAAAAATCCTTTTAAATAGTGGTAACTAAATTATTTCTAATTGCATTTTTTTTGCAATTTCTGTTTTTCAACAAGAAATTTGCCTCTAACTGCTGGATTTGGAATATTTCCCAATTTATATCTGAATGAGGAGCCTGCTTTGACAGCACTCGTGCTGAGTTTTATTCAGGTTTGCTCTTCAGAATTTTGCTCAGGAAAACCTTTGTTTTTCTGTTTAAAGCTGGAGTCAGCTCTGTCTATGCTGATTGCCTAGCATTCTGTAAAGCCATAAGGCCATTTCCTCTTTCACTCATCTAACAGTTGTAGAATTAATTCATTGTTTAAAAATTTATAACTGTGCTCTGAAACCAGTTTAAAAATAGAGAATGGAGATTACACACAGACACACAGACACACACACATACAAACAAACACAAAGACACACACACGAATATGACACTGTAAACCAGAACTCTTCAGAATTTTGGCTTATTAGCAAACAAGCATATTTACTACTACAAATTATGGAAGAAAACAAACTGCAAATTAAAAAGAAACCATGGTTTGGATTTGAGCTTTCTCTCTGCCTTGTTTCAGAGGATAAAACAGAACCTCCAATTTGAATTACATCAAACCTGCTGATATCTTAAGAGTATCTGCCTAGAGCAGGGGTGTCAAACTCGCGACGACATGTTGTCACATGACGTATCACAACTTTTTCCCCTTCGCTAAACCAGAGGTGGGCGTGGTTGGCACGTGACACATCCAGCCCATGGGCTGCGAGTTTGACACCCCTGACTTAGAAGAAGAGCCATCAGAATGACCAGGGTCAGTGCTTATCCTGACCAGTTTCTTGATCAGTAGCAAACCAATATTCTGAAGAAGTCAGGGATGGCTAAAATAATCAGTAGAAAGAGCACTGTAATCTGTCCTTGACATTCCAAACACTTGGGGCAGGCTGGCCTTTCAGTCATGCTAATATTGTGAAATGTTGTGTAAACAAAAAACCAAAGGCCATGATGGCGAACCTATGGCATGCATGCCACAGGTGGCATGCAGCGCCCTGTCTGTCGACACGTGAGCTGC